ATGACAGTAGAATACAAAATTGAACAGCGCATGACATATGAATTATCTTAAACAAACTCGTATTCAATTATTTTATTCTAAAGTGATTGCTAATGTCAGAATCTATAATGAAACAGCACATAGTAGATGAATTGTTCTAAAAAAGGTCGAATTCAATTATTTTACTCTGAAGCAATCAATGCCAATAGATCAGAAGATTGAACTGCGTATGGTAGAGGAATTGTTCTTAGGAAGGTCGAATTCAATTATTTTACTCTGAAGTAACCAATGTCAATAGATCAGAGGATTGAACTGCGTATGGTAGGGGAATTACTCTAACCAAGGTTAAGTTCATTTATGTTATTATCAAGCAACCAGTGACAGTGAAGTTTATGATTGAAGCTTGTATGCCTGATGAATTATTTAAATTAAGACTCTATTCAGATAAATCTTGTAATGGAAGCAAGAGTTAGCTTGGTCTACATGGATGATGATATTTGAGATAATGAATTAGCAAGACAGTGTTCACATTCAAATAGTTCATTGTACTATTCTTGTGCTATTCATGAAGGATATTCTCTATGTTGAGAAAATGTAATCCTCTGTCAAGGAAGGATGATGATTTATAGAGAAATCAGTCCTAATTAAACTCAGGTTGATTCTCCACTTTTTCGTCGAATCATCGTTCTTTTCTTCAAAAGCACACTTTTCTACTCCTGAAAGATTAATTTTACATACATGTCACAAGAAAACTTAATGGTCTGTTCTATAGAGTGTTCATCAAGGAAAAAGGTCGGATACCAGCATCTCGGTATTCTCTGTTTGCCTACCGTTTCCTTGTTTTATGACCCTATTCTGATCAGCACGACATATACTCGTATTCTGACTATAACCTTACTGCATCCTCTATACCATCTATATTCATGTTATCTTTCAGTCTTCCAGTAAATGCTATGCTTTAAAAAGTCTGCACACATTTGATACTGAAAATAAAATTCAATGAAATAAAGAAAAATCCTGCGCTGACGCCAGAAAATAAAATATATCGCCTAGTTGATGGATACCGAGACAGTCGGGACAAACATATCAGTTCCATTTGTCTGCTTTAGTGAAGCATGATTGAGAATGAATGTTAAAATATATAGTGAGAAAAGTGATGTTAACCTCTTTCTCGCCTGTTAGATATGTGCGTAACAGACGATAGACCGACATGATGTTTTCTATTTTGCAACCACTGAGTAAGTATTGAAATATATAAATATTCAAACAAATATACATTCTAAAAAATAAATTCCACGACCCAAAAAATTCCAAAAAGGCGTAGCAACATGTTTGTGATGCTCCAGAGGGATTTTTGTAATTATGATTTTCGGATTCGATAGACAGAGTAATGGATGTGATGAGATTTCTACATTTTAAATAGATTGGCTTCATCGTGTTTTACATTTTAATTCCGTAGTGATAGCACTGAAAGCTTTTGCAAAAAGAAACAAGAATTTAACAACTCAACCTAACTAATCTACTACTATGACTTTTTTTAATTACATACTCACATCGGAAATTTTATCGACTATTTTGCTGGACTCGCTTCAACTGACCAGGTGAGAAACTGGTCTTGCCATGGGTAAGAAATTAACATGCTATCTGCTTGTGTATGATTTTCTCGATGGTTTAAATATCAACTCTTGAAATTTGATTGACCGAAAGCTAGATTCAAAAGATATGAGATTGGTTCAAATCTGAGCGAGAAAAACCAATATGAAGACGTAAGGATTCGCATATTTTATGATGACCCTCTTTTGGTTTACTCTCCAACCAGATATACTTTTTTCTTTCGTTCGATGAAGATTACTTGCTAAGCGTATGACCTTTG